GAAAACTTCAAATTTGAAAATTTCATCTTATTCATAAATATTTGTCTTTTTCAATATTTTTAGCAACAGAAATTTGAAAAGTTTGAATGTTTATTAAAATAAACATATAATTTTATTGCCAACCTTATTGTTTAATTTATTTTTGTTATTAATAACATTAGATCTTTATAAACTTTATTAGGAAATTCTAAGCAAGTTTTACTTTCAGGATTTTTAAGTTCTTTAAAGATTTCTGATTCCAGTTCTTCATAACTTTCAGATTCTGATCTCTCTTCATAGCTTCTTATTAAAATTTCAAAGAGTAAATAACTTTGAATACTTTTGATAAAAATTGTCTAATTATCAATATTTGTAATATTTCTTACTAAATACAATCTTTATATTTTTTAATAAGTGACTATAATTATTTAATCCAATTTAAAATTACTATTTAAAGTTGTATTAAAAAAAATTTAAAAGTTTGAAATGTAACTTTTTCTAGTAATTGTTTTGCAATGACTGGTTGGTTAAATTCTATAATAAATATATTATTTTGTTATCAAATACATATTGATATAATGATGTAATATACAGTTAAAGAATTTATATATTTTTTACTACTTATTAGATCACAATAGCTATGTATCTTTTATTAGGTAAATTTTTATATTAGATTTTAAAATAGTAATAATAAATTTGTAATTATTGAATTTTATAAATATTTATATTTACTCTTATTTAAATAATAGTATTATATGTTTTTATTTTTAATATTATTATTTTTAGTTCTAATCTATTATTCTTAAAAAAGATTTATAGTGTATTTTTTCTAATAGCAAGAAGATTGTTATATTTTAGTTATTAAGAAATCAAAAGATTTTGCTTCAACTTTATATTTAATAATCCCATAATATAGGAGTATTTAACAAATTTTTTCAGTTATTATATGAAATACAAATTAAATTTATATTTATAATTTATCTAATTTATATAATATATATCTAAAAATATTTATAAATAAAAATTTATATATTAAAATATTATATTTTTAACAAATATTAATATAATAATTAAAGATAGGCATTATAATTAAGAAGTTGCAACTTGGTTGCAACTCCTTGTAAATTTCTTTTAATATAAAAATTCATAATATGTTGTAACTCAAAGTGTTGCAACTTAAGTTGCAACTAGTTAAAAATTTTAAAAATAATTATGGAAACCATCTTTAATAATAATAATAAAAGTAAAGAAGAAGCTATATAAAATTTATCTTATTTATATAAGATTATAAATTTATAATGATTTATACTTTATAGTCTTATATAATTTTATAATTTATATAAATCTTATAAATTTAAAAAGCTTTAGAAAATCTTATAATTAACTCTTTAATTTAATTATTTTAATTAAAAAAAAAAAAATTTAAAATATATAATAGGATACTTATAACCTTTTTTAAAAAATTAATATATAAGAACTTTTCCAATAAAATCAAGTTATGAAGTATAGTAAATCATATGATCCGTAATGTGATTTTACTGACAATGCTTATATATATATAATAATATTGAAAAAAAATATTTAATAAAAAAAAAAGAATTTTTTTTTAATTGCAAATAAATTTGCCTACTTATAAATGCTATAAATGCTTTTTAAATTTAATTTAATTCTTTTAATAAGATACTTTTTTTTTTTAACTTTATATAATAATAAATATATATTATAATAAATATTATATTAAAATTAATTAATAAAAGCTATTAATTTATGATAAAATTATGATATAATAATAGTATTGTATAATATTTATAATTTTATAATTATTTAATAATAATCATTATTTCTATTTAGATTATCTAATTATATTATTTTGAATTAAATTAAAATTTAAATATGTTTTAACATGAAATAGATTTCAAAAAGCAAAAAGCTAAAAGAATTTTTAAAAGAATTTTTCAAATATAATTTATATAGATTATAATTAAGTTGTATATTTTATATATAATCCACGAAACTGTTCCAAAAATACGAGAGTTAAAATTGTATGAGGCCTATATATGGGAGGTAAGTCAACTTTATTATTTAAATTCCAATCAAAAAAAAAAGAAAAAGAAATCCATAGATTACCCTACTCTAAGATATTGAGCGACAAATCCTTTGTAAAGTCCACGTATTCCTTCAACTTTAATAGTTTTTACAAAGCAATCTAATGTATTCTTATACAGACTATAATAAATGAATTCTAGTTAAAATTATTTCTGTTTTTTTTTTTCAAAAATAAAAAATTAACTCCAACTTCAGTTATCTATACTTACCTTCCCTTTCCACTTTGATCAACTTTCTGATT